ATGGCCGGTTGGCAGGATATTTAGACGCTGGGTGTCTGCTGAGCCAACAGCTAGATGCGTATCTAAGATTGCGTACCCAGCCAGACGGGGATTGGAAGTCGAGTTGGACTTTGGGTTTGGGTAAGCTGTAAATCCAATAAATATTGCCAAAACTGTAGCGTGCTCAGCGCTTTGTGCGTGCAAGGATGACAGGATCAGAGTCGAGCTGGCGAACTGAAAGAGATGAGCAGCAGGTTGATGCCTGACACAAAAAGGTGCCAGAAATTGTGTCAGTGTCCCTTTCTGGCTCTGGCACAACATGACATGACTTTTGGGCCACGTAGGCGTTTACTCGACTTAGCAGCGGCTTCACAGTGTAAGCCAAATTGAATCGGTTTATAACACAAAGACGAAGTCGCAATCGGATCAACGTCTGCTCCGCACTCGGCTGTGCAGCTCCTGATGAGTTCATCTTGCTGCTGCTGCTCTTGAACTTGAGCGTTTTTAAATATATTCGGCCACAAAGACCCGACCAGCTCCTGTCGCACTGTTGAGTACCTGCTCGTGTGTATAAGAGTAACGGTAACAAGTGCACGCAAGGATAATCCGCAGCACGCGCAACTCACGAGCGCGTCCTCGTTGGCAATGCAAATAAATAAATTGTAATCTGCTTTGCTGTTTGATTTGAATCAAAATGCAGCCACGCCCACCCAGAGCTAAGCTTGGCCTGCGGCTCAGCTAAGACAACGTTTGACAACACGCCGTTTGCTGGCCCGGCTCTGATCTGGTTGATCTACATAATCGGATATTGATTTCAGCCGAATTTCGAGCTGTTGTCGCTGGTCGAAATAATATTTTGGTTGCTTTTTGAATTTCTGACAATTTGTGGATTAACTTTGCAATCAGCTTCTGACAAGCTAATGTCAACTGGTTTTCAAAGAGTGCGATGGCAAGATCCACGCATCAGATCTTAGAGATCTGAGCTCATACGTAGAGTCTACATTTATTCCTTTGTGTACCAACTTTGAATTGCTTTTAGGAAATATCAAATTGAATTTTTGCAATTACAAAATTTAATTTCATTAAATAAATCTCATTAGCCATGTCTCATCAATGTCGCAATGGCTGCCACGAATTTATATATATATATAGGATAACTTGAAGGTCTGGGCGCTGGCAATTCATGATGGCTGCCGCAATGCAACCCTCTGCAACCTCTGTCACACCAAGCGTTTATAAGTGCCCAAAGCAAACATCCACCGAGCAGATCAAAATAAGCGTAAAAATAATCCATCTTCGCACTAAGCAAGCTGCAAACGCTACCTCAATCCCCTCCCCCTGCCCGGGCCAGGGCAGCTTCCAGTGAGGTCAGCGGCAGCTGCAGCAAGTCAAAAAAAGTGTCAAAAATGTTTCACTTTGGATATGTTGAAAAATAATGGAAGAGCACCGAGAGCCAAGCAACCAACGGGCACGGAACTGTATTGTGGCCCCGTCTCTTAGTCCTCGCATTGTGGACCTTTTTGCAGCCACGATTTCTGCACGCTTCACGCTAATTTTCGCGCCTATCAACGTCGACATCGACTATATCCTCAGCACAGCTCAGCCCTGCCCTCATGCTCGGTGCTGTTATTGTTGGTGGTGGTCCTGCTCGCTCCTGCCTTGGCAATGCATGCTGCCCAAATGCTCGCCCAGATTTCAGTTGGCAATTGGCTGGTTGCCCCTCGCTGCATCCTTCCGCTTCCCTATGGGAAGCGCAGCATAATTCATTCAAATGATTGGGTTGTTTGTACTAGAACTGTATGTGAATGGACCGAGCGCCGTGGAAACTCGTTTTTCCCAATGTTCACAGCGTTTTTCCTATTGTGAAATGAAATGGCGAGGGAGCGGCACGCAGTCAATGAGAAAGTGCGAATGATGAATGCCATTTTTCTCTTAAATACATTTTCGACAGCGATTTATTTCATAATGAAAATAGTACTTTCTATCAAGCTTAAAACAAATCAGTAAATGAATATAAGTTTTCATTTACCTATGAGAAACTTTACCCACAATTCTCACGAAAATGTGAACCAAATTTGGCTCAAAAGTTATTTTGAGAATATCGGCCAAACTTATAGCCAAATAAATATTTTTGCAATCGCTGTTAAAAATAAGTTTTGAATGGCGCAGCAACAACAATGCAAGCATCTACCTTTATTTCAGATGGTAGAAATTACAAACAATTGACATAATAAGAAACGCGCTTTGCGCCGTCTGTTCCGATCAAAAGGCAAAAGAAAACTTTAAGCACAGATGCTACACACCCCGAACACCCGTCTCCGGCTCAGACTTCGTAGCTCTGTATTTGGTATTCGGTATTAGGTGGCCCGTACTGGGTGCACAATGCTTACAATTACAATGTCAGATGGCTGAGGCGGCAAAAGATCAAAGCAGAGGCACAAAAGCTGCGCCGAGCAGCGAGTGAAAAGAAAATCACACAAATTTAACTGGCAACAATAACAATAAAAATAAAAATAATAAAATATAAGCCAAAGAAAAAATCATAATGTACAGAAAATGGCAAAAGCAGAGAGCAGCAGCTCGAGCAACAGCAAAAACAAACCTGAGCAACAACAACGACAACAACAAGACCAACTGAGACTTTCCCAAGCCATATGCAAATATATCATAGCGGCTAGTTACCCTGATGGATGGTACAGCCGAATGGGCCATGAGTCATAGTCGGAGCCGAGTTTTGAGTCGAGCTGCAACACAAAATATGAACGTGGAGCAGGTACGACACCAAAGTTACGGTTTGATCACAAGTTGAGCGTAAAATATGCTAAAGATCAGCGAGTGTCAGTGCCACAGCGACTGTGTGTGCTTGTCTGTGTGCCAGCAAATGAGCGTAAAATGATCAAAGAATCTTCGCGCGCTATGCCAATCCACAGAGCAGTTACCACTCATCCAGCCGTCCAGCCATCCAGTCTACAGTCTGCCCCACTGGGGATCCTCGGCCGTCATCTGCCTCTCTCTCTGTCTCTGCTGAATGATCGCATATTGCACGGCTAGGTACGTGTGCGCATTTTGCAAAATAACATTCAATTTGTGCAACCTGATCAAGCAATTGCATCAACCGATCGCGTCCAATGATCTACCAAAAAAAGCAGGCTTTGATAAATAATCAAAGTACGATCATTGTTGCAATAAAAGAATAATGTAATCGCATTCTTTTCGTAGCCCTTCCACTCAGGCATATTTTACGCTCGCTTAAACTGCCGATCTGATCGCTGATCACTGATCACTCTGGTCACTGATCAGTGATCCTCGATATCAGCTCAAAGCCGTTCGCCGACGGCTGTGCCACCATCGGTGAACAAATTACATGTTGCCACTTTGATGATTTCTGCAATTGGCCACAACAACAACAACAGCAGCAACAACAACAACAACAGCAACAATCTGCTGTGGCAGACAAACTGGCTGCCGCTTTCTAGTCAAGCCAGCTGCAAGTTTCTAGAGTCGACTCTTGGCTTAGGGTTCGCTTATTGAATTATAACGTTGCAAGTATTTGGTTGCAAGTTGCAGCTACGTCACAGCCTCGACTAGTTGTGGTACCACAGATTGCCCCAGGCGTTGCGCTCAACCACTCGTTAAGGCCGATCCTGTCCGTTGCTGAAAATATGAAGACATTGTAGAATCCTAAAAATCATAACAGCTAGAACTGCTGACAGTTTAGCAGAATCTAATAATATAAATATTACAATATTATGCAAATTAATCAGCAAAATAATATAAGATTTGTGGTTTAGTTTTGCGGTGGGAAAAACTTTCAGACTTACATCAAAATATATATTAATTCTCATATCATATAAATCATAATTTGATTACAAAACATATATTGGGCAGAAGAATGAATGACAAACCCTAGAAAGTATACTTTGTTCATATTCTTGGCCAGGACGACGGGCTAATTCGACTTTGCATGAGTCGGCCTTGTATGCACGCAATTACCAGAGATACGAAATGTTTTTGAGTTATTTAAATAAATAAGATTTGATTTTTTTATAAAAATTTTTTACTAAAACCATAATTAATATAAATACCATAATTAAATTAAAAAAGCTAGTTTTTGCTGTACACAAAAAAACAGCGATGTGATATACAACTCAATCAAAACTCTTCCCTATTATCTCGACAATTCTTGCAGCCTGCGCCACCTGTTGCAAAAGGCTCTGCAATATGTTGCCCATGAAGGCGTTGAGTCCTCAGGTCATTACCATATAAGCTCGCCTGGCAAACTCAAACATTGAGTTTATCAAATTTTCAACATGAATCGATCAAAATTCATGCGCAAATTGCCTTTGGGCAAAGAGGAAGAGGCAGAACAAGAGGAAGAGGAGCAGAGACAACCCCGAAAACAGAAAATGAGAACAGTCAGTCATGCGAACATGGTGTGAACCGGGTCTTTGTTGCTGTCTCTGTCACGCAAATTGTAACGCTCTAAATTTGCGTTACGTAACGGAATTTAAAGCGTTCCTTATCAGATTGGTTTTGATGCTTTATCAACGCTCCCAAAAAAAACAAAAAAAATACTCATGAGCTAATATCTTTTATCATGAGTCGCACCTGAGTTGCTGTTGTTGTTGTGGTCTTTTCTCTTTGGTTAATAAACGTAAATAATTTATAATGAATATATGATAAATTTATATATATGCGTTGCTGCTTTGTTTTTGGCGTGTGGTTGATTCGAGCGGCTGAGTACGTGAAAAATTAGCGGAAAATTTCATCAGTTCATCATGAGCACTTGTAAATTGTCTGTGCCTGTCATATTGCCCATACATGTTTATTAACTGGCGCTCAGCTTCCAGTTTGGCAATTAACGGTTGCAATTCGCATTGGACACATACGATTTGGGCTCGAAATTGTGGCACAGGTGCCAAATAACCTGAAGGTGTAGATAATTCAGAGTGGGCATTGAAAAGACAAGTCAAATTGCACCTGATGACAGATCCTGAGAGAACTATCTATAATATTAGATGAATATTGAGTGTAGAAACTGATATCTTATGCAACATCGACTTAGATTAGATACATATTTATTTATTTTACAGACTGGCAACGCGTCCGGCTAGATAAACGTAATTTTTGTCACTGATTAAAAATACGAATGGATGATTGACATTAAAAAGTTCTGAAGTGGTTCGAAAAGCAGCACCTGAAAAAGTCAATGATTAGTAGAGGCCTAACCACTAATTAACGGAAAAATCAACTAACCATCCGATAAGAATGTTTGAGAGCCGCTCTCATCCACATCAATTGTAGCTGTCTGTATGATTTTCGACAGAGACAACGTCTTTTTGTAGTCAGTCATTGATTTTAGATTAGCATTGTTGAATAGTTGGGTGACGCCCAGAGTTTCAATAACTTCTTTGAGCTTCGTTTGAGATTCCAACTTAAACATCGGCAGTTTAATTTGTATGTAGGCAGTTTTTGATGGGAAGATGTCCTTCAGAGCTAGCTTATGTAAGTTATTTTCAATTAAATTTATACCAGCTATATTAACCGGCAGCAGAACAAACATTGATACATTAGTGTTGTAAGGTATCTCTACTATATGTGCGTCCACTTCTGATAAATATTGGTATTTATAGAAGCCCACATCGCTCATCTGGCGAACCGTACTTTTTTTCAACTTTCCATCGGCTTGGGGCATATAAAATGTGTTGAGTTTCGTTAATTCATTTTTAAATTTTTTTTGCCACAATCCCTTGTAGTAGGTGGAGCTGAGTAGAAAGATCTTTTTGCTTGTCAAAGATTTAAGCGAGGCGAAAGAAATGCCGTTGGCTTTATCGACCAGGCTTCTGTAGCTATCCAATATTTTGACGTCTTGTGGCAGGAGGAATTGATTGGCCGTACTGATTGGCGATTTATAAGACTCTTCAAGCAAGGACAATTGAAGAGTTCCTTTACTTAGATCAGTTTTAAGTTGTAGAAAGTTAGCAATCTGAGCTGCTGTTTCGCCATCTGACCCCAAGTAGAGTAGAAAGAGGTTTTCCATTAACAATTTAGGCGACCAAACAATATTAGAACTATCACTCTGCTGGAACACCTGCCCAATGAGGCGCGGGACTACATTGACCCCAGAAGTCCATTTAATACTGAATAACAGGAGCACAAACACTGTACAACTAGAGAATTTAGCCATTCTGGTAAGACCTGCCTCGCCTTTACATGCATGACTCTTATATAGAGAATAAAATTATAATTCATTAGTCCTGCAATGGCTGTTAGTTGCGGCGATTAGCGTGTATGATTAGTAGCAATTATATAAAAATAGACCCATATTTGGAATATGTCCGTTACGAATATAGGTTAAGTGAAACTTCTTTAGGAAAGGTAAGTTGAGAAGTCAAGTTAAAAGAAGAGATACAATTTTAGTTTTTGGATCGACAAAATCCAAATGCTAATTTGATAACACTCAAGTGCAGGAGCTGACACACTGGATAAGTCGGTAGCTTAGCCATTCTGTTGGGGCCTTGGCCTCTGGCTACTGAGTAAAATGTTGGCTTCTTAGTCTTGCAATTTTTGACTTCATATAATACTGGCTAAGCGTTGCGGCTGCTAATAGAATTAACATCTGCTGTATACAAATAGCCACGTTACTAATGTCAGTTAACAAATGCAATATGTGATACTCTTTTAGAACGAATCGGCAACAAGTTAGTGGTTCAAAGTCAACTTACAAATTAACTTATGCAGAAGCTAGTTCGACTTTTCAACTCTTCAAGACTTCTAGCAAATAAAAACTGCAGACATATAGAAACTTCTTGAAAGGATTTAACAAGTAAGTGTGCTCTCTTGTTTTCTCAAAACTGGCAAAAGGCGATTCGGCTTGGAGGACTCAGACTCAGAAATATTATTTACAACCCAGAATTGACACAAGCTTTAGTTCCCATTAAAATATTGGCTTAACCAGTCCACAAACAATATTTCAATTCCCATTGCCATAGTCTGTTCCCAATAAAAATAAATATAAAATATATCTACTCAATTTTAAAGCCGTCCTTTTTAGACCGACTAAAGCATTTGTCATACTTTTTGCCAAAGTTCAACCACACAAAAAGTTCCCACATTGCGGTTCTGGCTACCATTTCAATCCGATCACAATTCGCATTATGAACGCCTTTGCGCTTGGGCAATGCTGATCATCAATCAAAATGCGGCAGTGGGAGACAAAGCGTCTACATTTTGCCGCCAGCTACCGGACACACCGAGTGCTTGCTATTCAGCATACGGGCTGGGCCACACAGGAAGTAGGCTCACATCCAAAAAAAAAGAAGAAAGATAAATTTCGCATGCTACCGGGTCGTCCGGGTTGGCATTCGATCTTGCACTCAGCTATCAAAAACGCATAAATCAGAAACGCTCAAAGGTCGGGAGTGGCTTTCAACAGGTCTGTTCAAAGAGCCACAGAAAGGAAGAGGCACAGCGTTGTTGTCAGCTCCTGCACTCGACTTGCCACACAAATTAAATTTGTATAAAAATATCCAAGTTGGTGGCCCTAGCATAAGAGAGAAGCTAAAGAAGAAGCCGCTGGGCTACTGTATGACAAAGTGACGCTCGTAGCACTGAGAGCAGGTCCAGTGAGCATACCAAACCCCTAGGAAGCGATCCATTATGATTGTCACAGTTGACACACATTATCACCCTTGTAAAAGGAAAGAGACAGAGCTAACCTGTCGTCGTCTTGGTATGTGCAGGACCTGCCATACCACTAGCCAGGCAGTTAGACAAGCAGAGCGACAGACAACCAGACACTGAGGACCCAAGCGATATGAACTAATTGATGTTTTCATTTAGACGCTCGCTGATGTTCAGGCAGGCAGGCTGGCAGGCTGGCAGGCCGGCAGGCATCTTCCCTTGGAGATATATGTATTCATTCTAGGTGGTAAGTGCGACGCCTGCTGTGCACACATAATTGAGGACCCTTGCAGCGGTAGAGCTACCTAAACCACCCAAGAAAGTCGTAACTAGGACAATCAGGACCTACTATAACTAGTTGCAACATTCGAGCTGGTCTACACCCCCTCCCTCCCTCTCTCCGTCCTTATCCTGTGGCATTTTGTCAATGGCTTTGTCCACTCCCGCTTCGCCTGGCCCTCGGCTTGGGCCTCTCATCTTTGACTAGCCCACAAGGCGGCATCTTGAAAGGAGCCTGCACTCTCGTTGGTGGTCTCTCATATTTTGCTCATCTCCCATTGTCAATTGCTCTATTTTGTCGCTAGACGTCGGCTCCCTTTAGACGACAGAATTTTGTAAATTATTTTCGTATTATCGAGACGCAAAATGTGTTGTCTCTAATTGTTTAATTGTCAAGTCATACGGTTGCCCTGTCGTCTCCGTGCCCTTATCCAGTCGGGCAATGGGAACACATAGAAAGAGCTCTAGCTCTGGCTTGAATCATCGCTAGCTGAACTATTGTTGTCCTGTCAATTTAGGGGACAATTTCAGTACGATTTTGAGGGATTAGCTGGGCTGGGCTTGAACCTGTTGTGGCTGCTTGGACATGTCCACATTTCTGTGTGGTCCACGTTTGTCTTTCTTTCTGCTCTTGTGTGACATTTGCAATGTCCTTAGTTTAATGGAGTATGAATCTTTTGTAGTTTTCTTAGCAGCAGGACCGGCGCTTAGAATTGTATAGTCAGAAAATAAGATGAAGGAATATTATATACGAAGATTATGAAAATGTAGCTATATAATGTATTTAAACTAGATAAAACTATAGGATATAAACACTTTGAGGAGCAATACTCAAATATGATATAAAATATATACAGGGTATAATTGCAATGTGTCTAAACACATATTTTATTTCAAATTTATGACCTTAAACCATCAGCTAATCTCAAATTGCATTTTTATTTATTTATTAATTAATTTATTATTTAATTAATTGTTTATCAAGATTTATCTTAACCATCCAAATTTAGTTTGGACATCAATGTAAGCAAATGTATTTAGCAATGATTAAAATATTTATCATAAGATCTGCAACTTGCTCTGTAAATCAATTTAAGTTATTTTTTAATCAACAGATCGAGGACAGACTTGTTTTTGAATATTTATCACATGTCGACAAAGGGTCGGATGCCTTATGCAAATTTTTTTAATCGGTTATAAATGCACTCAAAGCACACACGCTGAAAGCAAACCCCATAAAAAACAAACGTGGTATAATTATTATTATTATATAATTATTAAATATATTTATTTTGATTTCCACTAAATTTAAAAGTTTCTTAAATAAATGTAAAAAATCTTGTGGTTACAGTTAAACTTAATATAAACAGTCTTAAGCTCTGAACTAAAACCCTTTAAATAGTTAAGGATCAGCATAGAAACAGGCACTGATTAGAGAGTGGACCCAGCTAGTAGAGCAGTGAAGCTTTCGACTGGGAAACTGGAGCAAGTGCTGGAGGTAAGGGAGATCCCTTAAAAGCCAAAGTAGGGATAGGCTGCTCCAGCTGCCATCATGGAGCTCTTGGGCTCGGGAGCGACCGACTGATGATAGCCTCCCATATGATTTGCATTAGCACTGGGGAAGAAGGATCCGGCAAAGTTGTAACTGTCCCAGGACGAAGGATGATGCGATCCAGACGCAGCGGCAGAGGCAAACTGTGAGCGCAGCTGCTCAGCCGAGCTGGCGGCTGTTGTGGGCATAGAATAAGTGGAGGCGCCAGCAGTGGCTGCGTAGCCCGCACTAGCTGTGCTCATGTTGTAGGCGGAGTTCATGAAGCTGTTGCCGCTGCTGGTCTGTGTTTGTGGCAGGGACTGGCTCTGGACTGGGCTGTGGGCGGCAGAGCTGCTACTGCTGCTGGCGGGCGACATAGAAGCAACCGAGCCGCCATAACCGGCATTTGTCTCATAGCTAGCTCCACTAGCCGACCACGATTGGGTGCTGTACAGACCCATGCCCATGTTGGTGGCAGCAGCAGCACTTGAGCCATACGAAGCAGCTGTGGAGTTGCTGCCAAAGCTGGGCACTTGCTGAGTGTTGAGCTGCTTGCGCAGGCGAGCACGACGATTAGAGAACCACACCTGGACACGAGCCTCGGTAAGACCTGTGCCCTGGGCCAGCTCCTCGCGGGTGTATACGTCGGGGTATTGAGTGCGCGCAAAGATGCGTTCCAGTGCATCAATTTGATCATTCGAGAAGGTAGTGCGGGAGCGACGCTGTTTGCGCTTCAACTGAACGCTGGGCTCGGTGTCATCCTCGCTCTCATCTTCGCTGCCAGCGGAACAAGCACTGCCGCCGCCCAAGATTCCATCGATGCTGTGAGAGCCAGTACCGTTGCCAGAGCCGGAGCCCGAGGTGGTGCGCAGCAAGCGTGAAATGGAGCTGACTGAAGGCGCATTCTGTTTGTCACAGACGCCAGCCTCGATGAGCTTAGCGCGGATTTCCCAGCTAAAGATGCCTGGCTGTGATTGCTTCAGCTCCTCGATCCGTGCCTCGATATCGGGCGTGGCAACACGTGGCTTGCTGCCGCCGATGACGCCCGGACGAATGGACCCCGTCTCCTGGAAACGATTGAGGATCTTCGATACACAGCCATGCGAGACGCGTAACTGCCTGGAGATGACGCAAGGACGCACTCCAGCGGCGGCCATTTCTACAATTTGGCGGCGAATGTGATTGGGCAAAGGACGACCGTTGATGAAGACGCCGCCAAGCTGATTGACGCGTCCTTGTCCTGAAGAATAACAAAAAAATGGAAATAACGAGATTAGGTTAACTGATCTTCCAGTACACAGAGACTTAAAATTATCCCTCAAAATGTATGTTTTCCTTTCTAAATACTCTGCTGCGTGTGGCCATTTGAACTATTGCTCAAGCGATCTTCGGGCGATCCTCAAGTGATCTGCAATTAACTTTTCTTCGCTGCTCGATTGAGCGGCAATAAGTAATCCAATTATGCAGTTAGCATTGTTGGCTCGCAGGATAAGCAGCGCGGATCAGTTCGCACGATCTATTGTCTAAGGCTAAGGCTATTCGTTGGCCATTTGTCTTTGCGTTTGCCAATTCGCATGTAAACATAACAAAGCGCAAATTGCCAATTTGCGTGGGCCAAAAAAAAGTAAGCAGTAGGCATGGAAAATGCCGATCACTGTGCAGCTGTGCAGCCCATGCAATCAAATCAAACTAATAATCCATAAGCCAGACGGAGAGATGGAGAGACGGACAGACGGAGAGACGGACAAGCGTCCAGCTGTGCCAGGTAATATCAGTACGGTGTGAGAGTATAAAAGGCCAGCCCCAAAAAGCTCAAAGATTCCAGCTCAGTTGCTGTTGGTATTGTTGTTGTTGTTTTGGGGCGCTGACGTTGCTGCTACGTGCTACACGAGAGACCCAAACAACAGACGCTGAGCCAAGATCAAAGCAGCGGAGCCGACTCCAGACTGTTGAAAAGACGAGAAGAGCGCGCCAAAAAGTCTGCAAAGTCTGGACAGTGAGTCGTCGTCGCCTGGCTGACTGGCTGGAAAAGGTTGTGGCTGCAAGTTGTGATCACAATCAATAAGTCAAAAAGCTGATCATGATTGTTGTACGAGCGGACCAGCAGACGAGCGGACAAGCGGACAACGGACAAGCGGACGAGCGGGTAATGATCTCTCGTTTGTAGCCGGCGAAAGCGCTGCCCCATTTGATCATGATGATCATCATGGTGATCGAGCACTATTTTCTACGACGTTTTGTACTCGTAATTGTGGTAATTGGTAATAGAGCGTTGATGCTTTTGCTGACGATGATGATGATGATGATCGCTGTCGCATGCTTACCTTGAAAGGGATATCCAGCATAATAGGGTGTCATATTAAGTGCCGATACAGCCATGTCTGTGTTGTTATAATCCGTTTTAATACTTCGATTAATTTGATATGTTTTTATGTGTTACTATGCACGTTCACCAACACTGAAAACAGCACAAGTATCTTTTTTTCTAGTTCAGTTACTTCCTCTCTTGTTTCTTTTCAATTTTCAGATTTCTTTTCTATTTGTTGTTTGTGTAAGGCGCATGCGCACGCTGCTGTTTGTTGATGCTGCTCGTTTGCTTGACAGCTCGAAACTGATTTTGAAACGGTCAGCATCCGAGACTAAAACGAATTTGTGAGATTCTCAGACGATGCGACGGCGACGGCAGCGCTGCCTCATGCATGCAGAACACCAACAAACAAAAACAAGTTTTTTTTGTTTTCCACCAAGAACAAAAACAACAAACAGCATAACCCACGCATCGAGGGTGGCTAGCGTGAAAGAGACAGACACAGTTGCACAGCGCTCTCACTGTGCTGCGATCGTTAGCCGCTGCGGGTGTGAACAGTACAGCACTCTTTCTATCCGCTGCTCTCTGCTCTCGCGCTGAGCACATGTATCGGTGTGTGTGTGTGTGTTTGTTAGAGCAGCTGCGGCAAAGAGAACCAATGGGTGCGCATAGCATGGCTGCAATTGGTCGTAGCGCCGCCCCGTTTGATCCCTGGATTAGAGAGCTGACTTCTAAGTGGATCTAAGTGGATCTTGGACTCCATTACAGTTATTTATATGATACGTATTTGCGCTTGATTTGAAGTTATGCGAAATTCACGACATGGCTAGTTGTTTGTTACTTTTATCATTCCCAGGCACTTATTTTGCTGGATTGTCTTTTGTTGGCGTTTTATGTTTCCTGCTTGAATCGTAGGTCAGTTTGAATAACAGCGCTTAACTAACATTGATAAGCGTGATATAAAGTTTCATTATGCATTAAATATACTTATTCAAATATTTCTGTAAAGCTTATATTTCTGAGAAGAAAATATCATACAACTTGCATACACTTTAAATATATTCGTACACAGCACAATTTATATGAAATGTTCATAAAATAGTGAGAGTTGTTGAAAAGAAAAAAGAAAATCTTATCGCGTTGCATAGCAATAAGCCGCACTCAGTACCATTAAAGGTTTTCATTTTCTGCTCCTTCAACGCTTTACTACGGAAATGGGTGAACATTATGCAATGGCAGCAATAGAAACGCTTGCAAAGCAAACTCAATGCCAATGCCAACAAATAAACTCAGTGTATCTTTTGCTATTCTATATGGCCAACCGGTCTGTGACGTGGGTAGTGCTTTTGAATAGTTTGCATCCTTGTGTGTTCAATCGCATAGAACTTAATAAACACTTTCATTGAGTCCTGCTTCAGCTGCCACTTTGCTATAAGCCCTATGCAATGGCATGCATCAACTAACATTTTTGTTTGAGAATATATAAGAGACACAAAATAGATAGGAAAATTGAAATTATTGATGAAAATACTGATAAAACACTAATGGGTTTTTCTTTGAAACAAATTTACGGAATTCAAGGAAAATTCTACAGAATCATTTTTGCCTTTCATTATATTATAAATAATACCAAATTTCTTAAAGACAAAAGTCAGTCTATTCTCAGTGCGAACGCCAGCTGCTTCTCGACTCTCCCAAAACTTGGTTAGACAACAATTGCCCGAAGGAGTTGCTGCTCTGTTAATTAAGTAAAACCCAACCAAATGAAACGAATATTCATGAGAAAAAGATGGCCTCAAATAGAGCGTAGTTCGAGTCGGATGGGAAGCTGGCCAAACTATTTTCGCACGAGCAAAAAAGAGTCTAGTTAATTTCCTAGTGCATGACTTTTGGTTAATTTGTGGCCCAGTCGCTGGGCGGCCGAAATCAAAGAACTTTGTCCATGTTGCGCATACGCCGCGTGTGCGCACATGGAAATTATGCGGCCGCACTGTTTGTCGGCTATCCAAAAAGCGCAGTTGGCCTTGACTAACACACGACAACAACAACAATAACAATAAATAGTAGTTGTTGTTCAAGTTGTTGTTGCTGCCACTGTTCGAGCGCAGAAGTTGTTAATTCTGCTTGCGTACGTGTTTGTATCTGTAAGAAACATTTGCCTGGATGTGGGTGCACGTCTCTCAGTCTCTCTGTGTGCCATTTGGCAATAATTGTGATGCTATTGTTCAGGCGGCCGCCACGCTGTGTGTGTGGCTTCGCTGCGGGGCAATCGCTCAAAACTTATGACAACCCAAACAGCTACTGTTCGTTTCTGTAGCTGCGGCATTGATGTATCTGTATCTGTATCTGCAAACGTATCGCTATCTGTATCTGTATCTGTATCTGTATCTGTATCTCGCTATTGAACTTTCGAATGGCAAGTGTGCGGTCGCTCTTTTGTCTGAAGCTTCAAGTCTGCGGCCTTTGTCGGCAGCCGCTTATTAATATTTACACTTTCATTGCGCTGCCCCACTTTGCCTCCCTACCCCTTATCAAATTGATTGTGGCTCATGTGCGCGCTTTTCAATTCACATTATTTGTTGAAATAAATAAATCGAAGCATTTGCCACTGCTCTAACTTGTTACATATTTTGCGAACGTTCTGCTCATATAAGCAATATTTTTTTTGCCTTCATTGGCATTTTTTTGGGTAATTTTAATGTTTTTCTTTTGAGTGGGAGGCGGCAGAGCAGGCAAACAAATTTGCCTAGCTGTCGAGTATCTAGTTCAATTTGGAAATTCATTGGCAAGCGAAGCATGCGGCAACAGAACGAGAAGGAGAGGAATTGACTTGAGTGATGGCCCGCAAGAAACTCAGGAATTTCATTTTTTTTTTATTTCGACATACTTTAAAGTAAACAGCTGTAAGAGATACTAATTTAATTACTCTTGAAAGGTTCGACTTAAAGGAAACATAAAAAAATTTAAAAATATGTGACGTAATAACCTCATAAAAAGTAATATGCAGCTTTAAAATAGCTTTGAAACTAAATCTTTAGTACATATAATAAGTAAAACTATTACAGAATAATAATATAGTATAGGTAAATAATATAAAAAATAGTAAAAAACGAAGTAAAGTAAAGCAAAGATAATCTAAATTATGACGAAAAAGTTAAGCCTATAAAAGTTACTTTAAAAATTATAATATCTCACGACTTATTCGGAGTAACTCGTGAAAAAATGGTATCTGAACCAATAGCTTGACTACAAATAAATATAAAAGAAATAGATGAGTAAATTTGACTGGTAGAATAAGAAAATATATTATTATAAAAGTATCTAAATATGAAAAGTAAATGATTATTTTCAACTAAATTATAAATAATAATACTTCTAGAACTCTCAGACTCGTTCTATCTTAAAAATGATACAAACGCTTATAAGATAAATATAATAATGAAAAGCGATTTCTGGGACACATGGGAAAACGCTTAAGATAATACAAATCGGCAGTCGTCATCTGTTATTCAAGATGCTCAGTATATAAAACGGCTCATTAAAAGCATATAGATGTGCCCTAAATGCAACACTAATGATACCCAAAATGTTTCCAATAAACTCCACTGAAAAATTACCACTAACGCCCATATGTCAGCTTAAATGAAAGCCCCTTTAGGCCGGAATTCAAGCAAGCAGCTAGCAGCGAGCAGCAACAGCTGTTGGGCCTAAAAACAAGAAAACTAAATTAAAACTCAACCGCAACTGTTTACACAGCAAATGTTACCACAAAAGGGCGGCACGTTAAAGCCGCCGCCGCCGCCGCCGCCACCGCTGCTGCCGGTCTCCCAGATGAAATCCCAGAGGAAGATGATTAATTGGGGCGGCTTCTGCTCGAGACAGTTGCCGGTCAGCTGGGAGCCGCGATCTCCGATCGAGGTGAGAAGAGTAATATGTACAAATATATCACTCCTCCATGAAGCAGCGCTTAAAAATGAATTAATAACGTGTGAGCCGAAAACGCCCACAAGCCGGACAGTTGGCCAAAAAGGGAGATATTGACCAGGTCGAAATTCAAACTGACCAATCGAGTCGATCTGGGCGGACACGCGCATGACGCGGCAAAGGATAACAGCGGCCAAAGGATATGAGCGCCTGACTTTCAGCGAGGCACAACAAAGGATGCCCATTATGTGCATGATCTGTGGTTTTTTATGCCTTGCTGCCTTGCCGCCTTGCTGCGGCGCTTTGTCGGCAAGTCGACAAAGCCGGCAAAGTCGAGAAGTCGGGGCTGGCAGGACACACACGCCGTTTGCCAACGCCGGCGGCGGTGGCGGTGGTCGCGGCGTCGGCGTTGAAGTGTGAATTCTAACAGTCCGCAACGACTCTCAACGCTCTCCTCTCGACTCTGGTCTCTTCTGCCCGATCGTAAATAAAGAAACATTTGAGCTCTGCTCTAAAGATTCACGCGCTGAAATGTGGCGGATTCTTTGAAAAAATTATGCTCAACATTAATTGCCTTTGGGCTCTTCTTTTTGTTCCTTCTTGAGTGTGTGTAGCGCCCACGTTTAACGCGTTCCTGCTAATTCCTGGCCATGATAGACATCGCTGATCCTTGATTAGCACTCCTTGATGGCCATGGGCGTGGCAACTCCTTTCTGCGCCAATTGCTTTAGGTTTCCATCTTTCCCTCTCTGGCGTCAAGCCATAAAATTCGTTTAGCACCTGCATCCGAGGCGAGCGTGAGGTGTGATGTCAATGATTATAATTATAACGCCTGCACCTAGTATTAGCTAATGAAAGGGTTCCCGCCCAACACCAGACCAAATCAATCTGCTTCAGATTGATTGTCGAGTGCGCTCTAATAGAGATGCTACCAAGTTACGCCAATGGACAAAGCGCTGCATATGGTTAGATAGAAGAGCAGAGCAGAGCAGAGCAGAGCGAAGCCCTGTAGTCGATGCTAAATTAATATTATGATAATATGCGTAAAGTGTTATATAAAGGGTTTCATTGCATTAGTTACAGTATTGGAGCAGAGAAAGAAATTAGATATTTCCATCTTTCACAAAAGAATCTTAAGTGTTTCAAGTTTCTCAACCTCGATCAATTATCCACACATCAACATGTTAAAGCAAACAATGTCGTACAGAAGATAATATAAAGAATATATAATCAACTTTTAAATCTTTTATTATGTGCCTTTTGTAAGATTTTTAATTAAATAATATTAAGATTCCCTCAGATATATATAATATTATTACTAGAACATGTTTTTAATTTAAGTTAGCTACCATCACACTCAAG